CGAGCAGTCTTCAACATGTCATAGTTGGATCTTACTTCTGAGTGGCGAAAGCAACACCCAGTGGCGGAATAATAGTCTTTCCAACGGCATGCCACCAATCCCCACGAAGTCGTCTCATTCTTCAAAATGCCTCTCACTGTGTCCATCGTTCTTGGCTCCGTTCGCCCTGGCCGCCAAGGCCTTCGCGTGGCCAAATACCTCCAAGCCAAGTTGGATGCTGCTGGCTTCAATGTCCACTTGATCGACCCCCTCGAACTCAACTTGCCGTTGTTTGTCAACCGCTTCGCGTACCTCCCTGCCGAACTTAAGTCCGAAGCCCTCACGTCGCTACAAGCCAAGTTCGAAGCGTCGGATGCGTTCGTGGTCATCACCCCCGAATACAACCACACGTTCTCGCCAGTGATCAGCAACACGTTGAACTACTTTTACTCCGAATACGCCAACAAGATTGCGGGTATTGTCACGTACTCGGTCGGTGGTTTTGGCGGTGTCCGTGCGGCCGGCCCGCTGCGTCCCTTCTTTGGCGAATTGGGTTTCGCCACCATCCCCAAGGAACTCCCCTTCCCAGTAGTGCAAAACGTGCTCAACGAAGACGGCGCCCTCAGTGCTGACGCTGGCGCCAGTGGCGAAGCCATTGAAAGCGGCACCAAGCAATTCGTGAACGAATTGAAGTGGTATGCCGCAGCGTTGAAGACTGCTCGTGCTGGTGGTGGTCCTCAAAAAGTACTTCTAGTAACAATTATCTTGGTCGTCCGCCTGCCTTGATTTGTTTTTTCATGCCGGATGTATGCCACTAAGGTTTATACGTACGTGAAATCTACGAAGTAGTATGTCGGTTGTTTTGAGTGATTTGTCCTTAACGGTATGTCACAAAAGAGCGAATAATTGCTTTAAGTTTCACGTTGGAACTCAAGTACAAGATTTTCGTCGACCTCCCAAATGTGAATGCATTAACATCCATCCTAGCGGGCTAGTTAACATGTAAACAAATTGATTGCCGCGGTGCATGAACTTGAACGCAGAGTGCTGGGGCAATTCTGTCGTCGCGATCAATATAATACTTCGAAGTTGGTATGGAATACGCCGAGGGGCTTCGGGGGGGGGGAGATTTTCATTGAACGTACTAAATCTAAGGTTAAGCTAGTACTAGTACACCTTTACTTGAGATTGCTTTGGTAAAAGCTACTACAGTATACCAGCGATCAACGCTAGAAAAGCACATCGTATTTTGATTTTGTCGTTAGATGTGACTGTACAATATGGCGATTACGAGAAGGGGGATCTTATAATATTAACCAAAAACACCCACAATACCTACCACATTACAAAATCTCCGACCAAGAATGATACATGTACCGGGCGAGGCAACGAGAAAACACGATCTTTCTCATGTGCAGCTTCGCATCCAAACAGCCACAAACATGCAACCCATCAACAACTAAGTAAACTGGAACTACAACATCTTTACAACACATTAAGGACCACCGGCAGCACGAGCAGTCTTCAACGCTGCGGCATACCACTTCAATTCGTTCACGAATTGCTTTGTACCGCTTTCAATGGCTTCGCCACTGGCGCCAGCGTCTGCACTGATGGTGCCGTCTTCATTGAGCGCCTTCTGGACAACAGGGAAAGGAAGTTCCTTGGGGATGGTGGCCAAACCCAGTTCGCCAAAGAAGGGACGCAGCGGGCCGGCCGCACGGACACCGCCAAAACCACCGACCGAGTACGTGACAATACCCGCAATCTTGTTGGCGTATTCGGAGTAAAAGTAGTTCAACGTGTTGCTGATCACTGGCGAGAACGTGTGGTTGTATTCGGGGGTGATCACCACGAACGCGTCCGACTCTTCGAACTTGGCTTGAACAGCAGTAAGGGCTTCAGTCTTGAGCTCAGCAGGGAGGTAAGCAAAACGGCCAGCGAACAATGGCAAGTTGAGGTCGATGGGGTCAATGATGTGGACATTGAAGTCAGCGGTAGCCAACTTGGCTTGGAGGTATTTGGCCACGCGAAGGCCTTGGCGGCCAGGGCGGACAGAGCCGAGAACGATGGACACAGTGAGAGGCATTTTGAAGAATGAGACGATTGAAGGCGTTGGCAGGGTTCGTTTAAGCTAAGTACAGTATCTTATTTCCGACGTCGGGTCGTCGATTATTACACACGTGATTGGACTGAGAGTGGCCAATCGGTGGTCGATATTTCAACGAGTATAGCAGTGCTGCACTGTGCCGAGGAAGTTCCCTGACCTCCCTCATCAAATGCATTTGATTGGTCAGATTTGAAACTAAAATCGACACGGGATCGTCTGATTGGATAGGGAATACACTCCCCCAATCTCAATCGTCATTGTTGGTTTCTGTACGAGTTTGACGTAATCGTCAGAAGTTGTTTCTCCACACTATTTCAATGCGGGTGCGAGAACTAAACATTTCAACACTATTTCAATGCAGGTGCGAAAACTAAAAATTTCAACACCCACATACTTCTCCACACTAATTCTCGTACTCGCCTTGCCCTTTCATAATCTGCACTAACGTTATGGAAAATAATACTGTAATGCAAATTGAGCACAATAACAGTGCTTCAGCAATTAAATTGCAAAAGGACGTAACTGGTGCCTGAAACCGCCACGTTGAAACCCTCCCGACATCATTTATTTTTCCCCACTCAACAAGGCATTGACCTGGTGCGCCCTGATCGCCAAGGCCTCCGAGAGGCGAAATTCCTTCAAGCAAATCTCGAGACCTCTGGGATCCAAGTGTATTTAATCTTCCGTTGATACTGAAGTAGATACAGTGTGCATACCTTGCGGACGACCCTTCGTCCGACGCACTCAAAGCTCTCCAAGTGATGCATTTGTAGTGGCCCCACCAGTGTACAACCAGGACGTTCTCGCCAGTAATCAGCAACACGTTGGACTATGCGTATGCTTCTGGCATGCGGAATACTACTTTACTGTTACTTGAGTCCTACGTATTTAGTTGGTTATGTAGAATATATACTAAGGGCCCGTCTGGTAACGTTTCAAAAACAGTATTGCATTTTTTGGTAATAGTGGGATAAGACAAAAATGCCATTTTCAAAATGGAGGTAAAAGGTCAATTTTGTAAGATGGCCTTTTTGACCTCTTCAACGAGTAAATCCCACGTGGAATTATTGGATTTGGGTTAAAACTCTTCAAGCACGACATGTTTCAATTTTGATCAGATTTGTTGAATTCGGCCCCAAAATGGCGTTTTGGGCCTAAGTATCTGAAGTCCTCCATTGGAGGACTTCAGAAACCGGCGCAAACTTTATTTTGAGTCGGTGCCGGCTCAAAATTATCCGGCGAAAATATGATTAATATTAACATGAGGCAAAGTGATGTCCACAGAAACCGGCGCAAATCTCTACTCTGTGTTTGGCTCACAGGTTGGTGGCGACGACCAACCACTTTAACTTTGGCATGGGACCGAAAGGACGGGGGAAGGGATGGAGCTCCCAAGAAGCGCTGAGCTTACTCGACTACATCGAGAGACTGCTACCTCTTAGTACAGACTGACTACAATACCCGAGCCAGCCAAGAAAACGGTTAAATCCCAAGGGACATTGACAGTTCGCATGCTGCAGTGTAGTAGTGAAGGACAAGTGCCAAGG